AACTGAGGAGAAGTGGTTATGATCTGAACATTCCACATGTGTTTTGGGTTTGCACATGCTGGAATATATTGATATTTTACCTGGAATTCCAAGGTACACCTGTATTATTTAAAATGAACTGTTAGAGGAATATCAAAGCAACAAGTAAAGTACAGCGTGTATATTTAGTGAATGGGTTCAGAGTACTGTAGGCTGTACTGTGCCACTGTTTCCACAAGATGGGGCTGTTGTCTTGCTCATTACCTTTTGGGGAGTGTTAGATGTACAGACTTTAAGCATCTGTGTGTGTGTCCAATCCAACCCAATCCAACTTTATTTATATAGCGCTTTAAAACCTCCAGACCAAAGTGCTGTACAGAGAGATACATAACATATAAAATCACTCAGCTCACAAAACAAAACATAAATTAAATAAATACATTTAAAATAAAAGATACAAACACAAAACAAACCAGAATAAATGTAACAATTAAAAAATTAAAAAATTATTTAAAAACAAAAAATAATTAAGAAGGTCCACAGCAACAACAACATGAAACACCCTTTAATGTACTGCAACGACATGTCGGGAAACCCCCTCAAGGGGGCCCCATGCATAGCGCGCCAAAACTGCTTCTTAATTTCAGTTTGGTTGCTCCGCTCCGGGGGTGGGGGGGACTATAGTGGAATTGATCCGGACCATTAACCTTGTATAAAATTCACAAGTGGACCTTTACCAAAAAAGTTTGAGTACCCCTGTGGTAGACCATCTCTTATTTTGTGTATTTTGTGTTTTTGTGTATTGTGTCATATTTTGTTGTCTGACTGAAATCAAACATGATTTTTATATTCCTGTTTTTTACGATTGAATTAACTTTTCTCTAGGAAAACGATTGACTGGGCAGATCATCTCGTTGGTTTTTATCTCCACTGGAAAATGGTCTCGTCTTTGAACAGCCCGTATTTCTTCCGACTCAGTGTGATTTTGTTGTCGACCGATAGGAATGAAAACACTTGGATGACCCGTGAAGCTGAAGGAAAGCCTGTTTGTTTTGTGCGGTTCCCACAGGAGACGCAGCAGATTCCCACAGAAGAAGTCGCTCTAGACATCTGCCTCTCCAACGGTCAGAAGGTCACAGTCAACATTCTGACCTCAGATCAGACGGAGGACGTCCTGGATGTGAGTGTCTGTTTAAGAAAACTGTTTTCAGCCAGCACTCCACACGGTTTATAATTTGTAGAGATTGAAAATTAATAAGAAAACAAGTGTGTTTAAAGGTGCGGCCAAAGTGCAACATGGCCCAATGTTTCTATCCAGTTCTATAATCAGATGAACCCCTTTTTAAAGGGATAGTTCAGGTGTCTTGAGGTGTAATTGTATACGGTCGGTAGCTATCTTTAGCTATTGAATCATCTACATTTAATAAGAGTCAGCATGCCTAAGTTCGGAGAGGTAAAAAGGAAATACTGCACAGAAGTGAAGCAATGTACTGCTGTGCATGGTGACATCAGCTAAATATATTGTATCTGCCTAAAAGAAAGCCAACCTACTGTAAGTCAAATGTATATAGGTCTAAGTTTACAGTATCTTTCATTATTTTACAGCTCTAAATTCTAGACCGACAGCCCTTTGCTACGAGTAGGGAAGATACTATTTAAGCTCTGGCCAAATCAACCAAGCACCATTGGGAAAACCCGATGTTTGCTGCTGTACTGAATTAATAATTAAATAAATAATACATTTCATTTATATAGCACACTTTAAAATTGCTTCACAATGCTATAAGGAGAAAATAATAAAACAAATAAAATAAAAAGTTGAAAGAGGGATCAGTCTGTTTCCCAAAACTAGGGGCTAGCCAACCGACATCTACTATAGATAAGGCTCTGACTAATATGGATAAATACCTCTTCAAAACATCTCAACCGTCCCTTTTGTATAAAAGAGGAACGTATATATAGTAAATAATCGTCTTTAGTCCATAGAGATACCATAATAATGTTTATGATATTATGTTGTGATGATATCTTGATAAGGGAACATCCTGCGAGGCTTTAAACACTGTGTTATCTACCTTTGCAGTTTGATCTCTGCTGTTTGTAACAGTGCTCACAGACAAACTCATCAAAATTCACAACACTAAGTAAGGGTGTACAAACAAAAGAGAAGCAGACACCAGTTCCAATTCCTTACATTTCTTCTTTTTTTAGGTCAGGTAGTGATGACCAACCTTTTTGTACTTCCTCTTCAACTCTGCTCTTTATTGACCAAAATAAACACACACAGAACAGCAGGCACAGTAAACAAGCTGCTGTTTTATCAGGATGTCCTCTTTCTGCTCTTGGCTGTAAATCTAGTTTGTTTTTAAAGTGAAAGTGAACCACAGTTTAGATCTGTTTACCACAGCATGGCTCTTAACACACTTCTGTAGAGTTTCTCAATGGTTGTCAGTGTGTGTTTTATAACCAGAGATGCCATTGGTTGCACTGTGTGTTGTCATGAAACAGTTTCACTTTTTTATTTTGCAACATTTTGCTTTTTGCGGTTGAACTGCAGAAGTTGAAAAAGGGGTCAAAGCATAAAAAGGACTTGCTTGATATTTTTTTTAAATGGCAAAGTATGATTGTGTTTTATTTCAGTTTTTTATCTACTGAATATCACTGAGCTTAAATCCCATCTGTCTTCAAAAAACGTTCACCTTCATGTTTTAATTCTCTCTCTTCCCTCTCTGTGGTATGTTTCTGCAGGCTGTTGCGACCAAGCTCGACCTTCCAGATGACCTTGTTGGTTACTTCAGTCTCTTCCTCGTCCGTGAGGGTGTGGATGGAGGGTTAACATGTAAGTCTCAACAAAGGTTTCAAGGAAATCATCCGCTGATTATTTAGAGTCACCCTGGAATGTATTTTCACAAATGACTGAAAAGGCATCTCAAGGGCTTCAGGTTTTCTTTTCTTTTTGGCACACTACAGCTGGAAACCAAATCTTGCTTATCAAAGTAAACTAAATGTGCTTTGATAAACAAGATTTGGTAAATAATGAAGGTTTTAACTACCTTATCAGCCGAACCAAGGACTCACCAAACACACCGTAGTATTCTTACAGAGAAACAGGAACTAGGACATAGAATAAAAAGCTATTACATGTATTACGTTGAACTAAGAAACAACTTATTGGTTAACCAAAGGGAACGATGTGCTGTATTGTCATGCTGTTGATGTTAGTGTTTTTTCTTTCTAAATTCTTCAAAATAAGACGTTAAGATTTAGCTCTGGCAACAATCCAGCAGCTCCGTTTATCCGTCTCACAGTTTGGATTTAAACTGTAGCTTAATTAAAAAGGAAGCGGCTTTGCCCAGAGTGGCTTCCTGTATCGGAGTTCCTTCTCTATCTCTTACTTGAATACATCATTTATTTATGAACTCTTCAGAAGCTCAGTGAGAGCTTACCAGGCTGTGTGCAGTGTTTGCAGACTAACTTCTACTAAATTAAGTCATTTTTACAAAAATACTGTACGAGGGTTCTACAATTTTAGCAAAGTTCTCACAGTTGTTTGCAATACAAACATTAAAGTGTAAGAACCAAATGTTATCCTTGATTTATTTCCACCAAAACGTGTGCTACCACGGTCTTGTGCCATTAATAATGTAAGTATTGCATACAAACATAGAGGCGGACAGAAAAAATAGATAGTTAGATTATTAATAGATAGTTAGTTATTAATGCCTTTGGGTAACTTCAATTAGAACCTCCAGAAAAACGCGGGCAAAAATCCTTGATTATGAGGGCTAAATTCCTTGATTATGCGATTAAACATGCGGGGTTTTATGTGATTTTATGCGGTGAAATTGCGGGAAGTTAGGAAATATGCGGAAAGTTGCGAAATATGCTAAATATGCAGGGGAAAAGAATAACAATTTTTTTAAATATTGGGCTGTCTTATTTATTCTCTCTCACACACAACCTGCCACTAACGTTAAACCCCTTTCCTATTCAATTAAACACATTCAATGTTTATTTATTGTAAAAGCAATTGGGCTATTTTAATCTCACACACACACCACCCCCCCCCCCACACACACACACACACACTTCTCCGGCTCATTCTGTTTTCATTTACTCGTTCGTTATCTGACCAGCTTCAATCTTGTAGGCTACTCACTTCGTTTCTTGTAGCCCTCGAAAGGGTTTTGGAGGTTGATCCCTCGGTGAACGGGAGTTGAATGGCTTTCTTGTCCGCAGCAGCAGAAAGCATTTTCGAATGTTTGAATGAATCAAAGTGGGTCGCCACCGTCGATTTTCTCTTATGCTGCAACACACAGTTGCACGGGGTGCAGAATAGTTTCCCCCCACTTTTTGCCCGGTCTTTAGTAGAAATGTTCGTTGGTAAATGAGCTCTATACAGTGTTGTTTACATTCTGTGATGCGCGAGCTGATGACGTCACGTCAAGAAGAGTTAACTTTTTTTTCTTCTCAACTTTGTGTGGAAAAATGCGGGGATTATGCGGCCTTTTGATAAATATGCGGCTTTTTAAAAATCTGCGCCATTTGGCTGATTATGCGGTAAATTCTGCGATCGCAGAATCGCGTTTTTCTGGAGGGTCTATTCAATGCTACAGCAACGGAATCAAAAACCAAACAACTTAGGGAGGCTCAAATGGGTTGATGGAAAAAAAAATACTATTTGGTTGTATGACACCCACCTGTATTTGCGTACTCTTTAAATGCCCATTTTATACAACATCTGAAGCATCTTGTTTTTGGCAATGCAGTCCAGCTGGCCACGTGTTACCATTATTTTTAACTTGTTCCTCACTTCCGGACTTAGTTCAACTTTGCTCTTTTTCTGCCAGTGTCCCAGCTAGAAAGGTGAAGAATACTTAACATCTTCAAGCACAATTTGTGGTCTCGAGTCACTTTCTATCATGTCATCTTCTGTGCCAATTGAATTACACCCCCCTAACTCTTCATTCCAGCATTCAGAAGCTGCTGACATAATGTGTTGGTATGCACTTGTTTTTAACTGTGTGAATGCAAATCACACTACTAACATCTGCATTTGTTGTCAAAAGCAACATCACAGTAGCACAGGCACAAAGCTTTCCACTTCGAAATATTTCACTTTCCAATCCCTTTTTATTCCATTTCATCACAACCCTGTCAGGTCAAATCTCTCCCATTGCAGGCTGAGAAATGGTGCCAGGTGAACTTGGAGTAATCTGTAAATATTGCAGGCATGTTGTATAGTCTTGGCACAGTATAAATCCGAAACTCTTGAGTGGTATAAAAAAAACGAAGGCCCATGTGTTGAATACGACGCGACTACCAGAATAAATCCGGAACAGCAGGCTGCGGATCAAACAAAACTGCCAGTGGGTGTGTTGACATAACAGGATGGCGAGAATAATTCAATTCCTCTCCGACAGGCATTCATTCTCCAGATATCTGTGGGCAAATCAATGTGTGCTGTAAAATCTGCGTAGACATGTCAAGAAGAACCAGCATGCGGTCGGAAATTGCAGTGCCGCTCTTCTTATCTGCATTTTTAGGGTTGTTTTGACGATTTAGTCCGCCTGCCAATATTCCAAAAACATTTTAAGCATTCAGTTTGTATCTGTTTTTTATTCCTACAGAGATATCCAACATCAAACCAACCAGCATATGTTTCTGTTCCTGTACACAACATCTCTGCCCATAAAGGAGTAAACAGACTTTTACACCCTAATGCCAAATGAAAGTGCTGTTTAGTCATCAGATTTGTGGTGTTTTGCACATTTATTGATGCCTGAACACACAGCAGCAGCATTAGAAAATACCTGAGATCTCTTTCACTCTCCTCAGGGAACAGGCAGCACTGAAACAGCTGCAGATTAGGGACAAACAAACACACACACACACACACAGCCTGTTACTTTTTTTTTGAATACTCAAACACACACTTGCACACTAAGTTTGTTTCCCTCTGGGACCTATCCAGATGGAGTTCTCCAATCCCTCGTTGTTTGTTGTTACCATCATTATCAGAATGTCCTTGGAGCTGCACTTCCTTACTCTCTTTCTTTCTTTCTTTCTTCCTGTTTTGTTCCCTCTCAGTTGTGCGGAAGCTGCAGGAGTTTGAGCTGCCTTATGTATCCATTACCAGCTTGCGGAGCTCTGAGTTTCACATACTCCTACGGAAAAGGTACCCACCACCTGCTTCCCAAAGCACTGTCCTGTAATTATAGCACTGCTTCATTGTCCCCATGTGTTATTTATCTAATCCTGAAAAGAAGCAGGGCAGATACTTCTGTTTTGGTAAGCAACACATTACCACATCTGCTTACTTGGTGTACTTTGAATCAGTCAACCAGTAAGGCTCTATTTTAATTCTGGGTGTTTCTTATTTCAGTCCTTATCTGCAGTGAGGCACTCGTTCCTAATGTCTCAGAGCAACAGCCACGGGAAGCTTATCTAGATTCACAATCTTCTACAAACTGGCAGCTAATTTGCAGAAGAGACTGGAGTTTACCATTTATTTTGCCAAGGATAATAGTCAGCATGAAAAGAAAAGGTGGTGCATTTGCAAAGTCAGGCTTAAATCTGCTGTTACTGCAGCAAAGTAGTTGACGATACACATACTTGGTCATCTTAATTGCAATCTAAGTGTACTCTCATTGCAATCTTCAATTACTGTCTGTAAACTGACAATAGCCTACAATGACCAGAAGTTTAGCCAACAAACAAAAAGCTATCTGCCAAGTATCAGTAAACTGGAGAAAAAAAAACAGGACAAATGGAAAGTTAATGGATAATAAATGTCACTTACTGATGTAAAAATGGGTTTGTACTTACATTTAGTCATGATAATTTATCTTTTGGCTAATATCGTTCAGCTTATAGCTTCTTTAATTGTCATCCTTTTATCAGTTGACTAATTTACTCCCATTATATTTAAATGTTTCTTCAATGATCTTTAACAGCCAAAAACATATCAGATATGTTTGACGACTCGACATAGAGCTAGCTTGAAAGAGTGAAGAGAAATTAACAGCCTCAAAAATTCCCATGAAATTCAACCACCACCAAGTTCAACATCTGATATAGTCTCTTAACAAACATTAAACAATGTAAAAAGTATTTCTTTCATGAGGACTGTTCAGTGTGGAAAATAGATTTGAAGGTGGCTACAAGGAGGGTGGGTGGCGCCATCAAGACTTGAGAACTGTTTTGTTTCACACACAAAGCATCCCAAGTGGTATGAAACATGACTCATTCTTTACATTTCAGTATTAAACTAACCACCAGCAGAGCAGACATGGTGTATTCAAACAACCGTTTCTTAGGTTTTACAGTAAAATCCCCTCCTTGTTTTTTTTTATGGTTCATTTATTTGTTTTAGGAAAAGCTTTACAGTTACAAATGAAAATGCACTCCTTTGCCTGGAAATGGGCTTCTGTCATCAAGAGCTCCGTGTCACACAAAATACAGGATATGAAAAATGTTCCTGGGTGGGCCGCCCACACAAACACTGCATGGTAATGTAGCCTGAAGTTAGTGGCTGCTCCCCTCCTCAACATAACATTTTTCTACTTCCTCGTGTGTCTGTTCTCTCGTCACCCTGCCTCCCGCTGACTGAGGTACACAGGATGTTTACTTTCTTTCGCCCTCAAGGAAAGTCTGAGTACTCCTGACCTAGTTTCTGTCCAGAGTGTAGAGCAGCCGGGAAAGAATGAATGTAGAACTAACAAGTGGAGGAAAAACAGACCCCCAGTGTATGAAGTCCAGGGGAGGATCAGGTCCAAATGAATTAAAAAGCCCTTCTTGGCTAAAAGTGCACACTTGAAATGAATTTTCCAGTGAATTTACATAACTTGTGCGCATGTGTAAGTATTTATGAAATAAAAGCAGGCATATGAATAGTAGTGGCCTTTTTTAAAATGTTAAGGTCAGGTGTAATATGTACTTGTACATTTATAATGCATGAGGTTGGGCTAATGAACATTAAGGGAATTTAAAATAAAGACCTTATTTCTCAGCAGGGGCTTAACTGAAACTAAAGCAGCAATATAAAACATCTTCCACTTCTACCCCCCCCTTTCCAGATCCTCCCTCTCTAATAACCCTTCTCTCTTGTGACCTACTTTAAATTGCTGATGTTGTCAGCATGCTTCACATTCACTTGAATAACTTCTCCATCCACTCACAGCCCCTTTGTCATGCAATTGCCACAAGTTAAATTGATCAATGCAATGAGATTCTAGCCAGCTAACTTGGACAACAATTATTTTAAATGCATGTCCGAAACCACTGATAGTTAAATAAAGGCATTTCCTTTACAGGGTTTAAGATATAATAAGCAACAGCATTGAAAGCCAAAGTATCTTGAATTGCAAAATATAGCCTGAATATATGTTTCTTCAGATCAGATTTGGGTCTTTTACACTCATGTTCTCAGTTCTAAGCCCTCTCCATGAACGCTCTACTCAGGCTGCCCTCCGCTGCTCACACCTCTCCATGCATAGAAGTGCCAGCAGGAGCCCCCTACCCTATAAACTCTATACAATCTCACTGGGAGACCTACTGTCCTTCAACATCTATAGGAAATAGGCTTTGAATTAAATGCTCTTAAAATGCTATAGTGTGTCACTGACATTAAGTGACTTGAATTTAGTCTACAAGTCACTCACTTCAGAGATTAAATTATATTATTATTATTGTTCGGATACACTACAGGAGTAGTAAGTAAACAATAAAAAAGATATGTGAAAATGCATTGTGACAAAGCTGAAAGTAGACCTTTTTTTATTAAACCAAAAGAAGTAAGAAATGTTTTATTATTTATTGTTTTCACAGGACATGTGCAGACAGAATCATATGTTACTATATATTACTTGTGGTAAATAACCAAATATGATTGTATTTCATGGAGTCAGATTCTTTAAGTCACTCTAACAAATCTGCAATTTTCACTCTGCCACTTTGTAATTACTCATTTCAATTAGAAAATAGATTTGTAATGCGTGACGGTGCCTTTTCTTCCTGCAGCTACTGGGACATGTCGTACGACGCTGACGTCATGGACAACAGAGTCGGCCTGAATTTGCTATACGCCCAGGTAAGAGGTTTCATAATGTCCGTAAACCAGACACTTGTTTATTTCCAGCTGCAGAAAGGCTCTTAAAAATTATGTTTTTATGCAACCTGTTCTGTTGTATTAAGCATTTTTGGGGGCCGAGTGTAGCAGACGAAATCATTGAGACATAAATAGTGTTTGCAGCATGTTTCTGTGTTACCTGCACTGTTTACATGAAAGGATTAGGGTTTGGTTCCTCCCATGTGTACAAAAGGAAACCCTGCAATGTTTAGTGCATCTGAACAGAAATATGAACTTTAGTTTGTTTGTTTTTGCTTCACCAGACAGTGTCTGACATTGAGCGAGGCTGGATACTCGTCAACAAGGATCAGCACAGGCAGCTGAAATCACTGCAGGAGAAAGGATCCAAGAAAGAAGTAAGCAAAGGGCAGCTCCTCTCCGTGGTTCTGCCTCACTTCAGTCCAGCTAATACTCATCAATATCTTTGTCCAAGGATACATCTTTAGACCGTAGATAATAATGCGTCTAGTCATTCTGTCATGCAGTTGGCATAGTTCTTCCCCTGATATGAATGTTTAATCACCCCAATCCAGAGAACTCATTTTCTCATGGGAATCGGTTTCTTTAGAAAAGTTAGTCTTCTAAAAATGGTTTTGTATGTTTTTTTTCCCCTCAGTTCATCCATCTAGGCCAGACTCTCAAATATTACGGCTATATCAAGTTCGACCCGTGCATCACAGACTTCCCGGAGAAGGGCTGCCAGGTCATCGTCAGTGCGGGCAACAACGAGCTCAACTTCCACGTCAAGCTGCCCAACGAACAGATGAAGGAGGGAAGCTTCAAGGTCACGCGCATGAGGTGTTGGCGAGTCACGTCTTCTGTAAGTGGCATTGTCTGTGCGTGACAGTGAGGAGGAGGGAATTCACCTTCAAGCGTGCCTGTATCTCCCAACCGGTGAAATAAGGGAATTGGAATCCCTCCATGTTATTAGGAGACTACGAGCTGGTAGCTTTGGCTGGAGTCCATTTCAAACCAACAAGCGTCTCCTGTCCCTGTTTACAAACTTCCTCTCACCACTGCAGCAGAAACAAATGTCTTTAGTCCTGCCAAGCATTCTTTTTTTACTCCTACGGCTTTCTAAAAGTGCTGACCTCCACACCATTCATCTTCATCGGTCCAATTACCCGAACACGCAGCCCACACAAGGAGAGCGCTGCATCGATCGGCAGACACACACACACACACACACACACACACACACACACACACACACACACACACACACACACACACACACACACACACACACACACACACACACACACACACACACACACACACACACACACACACAGCAGCATCCTTCAGTCTAACTGATAACAGTCCATTGAGAGAAGGGAGTGTGATGGCCTGCAGGAGGGAAACAACCTACCCATTTATACATCTGTACATCTCTACTAACGGCAACAAATAAAACCTTTAGAGATTTTGGGGGAAAGAAAAGATAGTTGTTTCACATGAGAAGTCTTATGTTTGACGTATTAGGCTACTTTAGAGCGTCACCTAGTAACTGTAATGATTAGTAAACAAGAGATGAGGTCTAGACCTGTCATGCTCGACTCAGCAGATGACAGTGATTGATTGAAGGGGTCTACACATCATAGGTTCGACAGCGTGATGAATCAATACAGTGTTTTTTATTTCAGAAACATTTCAGAAACGGGAAACTTAATTAGTTAGACAGCCAGGCATTTGTTTGGGAAAAACTGATGAGGTTTAAAATGCACGCATTTCCCCAATTTCAGATGTTTCAGATCATTGCCCTCATCATGGGGAGTACTACGCAGAAAAACATTTATAATGTCCGCTGGGCTTTTCAATTCTGAGAAAAGAACTGTGATGTGTTCAGGGTTATCTCAGCTTGGGCTTGAAACTTGAAACTACATTAGTTGTCTACAAAGTCAGTGTTGAAAACTGGTGCTGTGGGTTTTGAAGTGAACATATCTTACACACA